GCTTCTTCTTATTTTGTTCATTAAGCAAAGAAGAATGAGCTTTTTCAAGCTTCTTGTGAGCCTTGCCAAGCTTCTCATGGGCTTCCTCTAGCCTCTCATGAGTTGCTTTGAGCTCATCAAGGGCTTGCTTAAGGGCTTTTACTTCCTTATTCAAGCTCTTGCATTCCCCTCTCTTAATATCAAAGTGTTCTTTAGCATCTTCTAGTATGTCAAATAATTCATCTTTAGTTGGTTCATCATCATCACTATCACTTTTATTTTTATTTTCATTATCATGCTTCTCATCACTTCCATCATCATAAGTTTGTACCTTAGTGGCCTTAGCCATGAAGCATGATGGAGTGTCGAAGAGAGAAGACTTCTCATTGATAGCAATGCTTACAAGTGCCTTCTTTTTAGTGGTCTTATCATCATCAGTATCATCATCATCATCACTTGAGGAAGCATCACTATCCCAAGTGACCACATATGAACCACCCTTCTTCTTCTTGAAGGTCATCTTGTCCTTCTTCTCTTTCTTTTCCTTATTGTCCTTCTTGTTCTTCTTGTCATCATTGTATGGGCATTGAGCAACAATATGATCCTTGCTTCCACAATTGAAGCATCTTCTTGACTCTTCCTTATTCTTGGATGAAGATTTCTTCCTTCTAGCTTGGTAGCATTTCTTCATCATGAACTTGCCAAATCTCTTGACAAAGAGAGCCATTTTCTCATCATCTTCACTTGATGTATCTTGCTTTGTCTTACCCTTGGATGATGTGGCCTTGAATGTCATGCTCTTCTTCTTCTCATCCTTCTTCTCATCTTTCTTCTCCTTCTTTTCTTCCTTCTCATCATCATTTCTATATGCATCGGTTATTATATCTCCCAACACTTGGTTTGGTGTCATGGTGTCCAAACCACTCCTCACTAGAATAGTGACCAATATGCCAAATCTTAAAGGCAAACATCTCAAGAACTTGTGGGAGAAATCCTTGTCCTTCACCTCTTCTCCAAGTGTTTTGAGATCATTGACAAGCACTTAAAGCCTATGAAACATCTCCGGCACACTTTCATCCTCCTTTATCTTGAAGCTTGCAAACTTCTCTTTGAGAATGTATGCCTTTGCACCCTTCATGGCTTGAGTGCCCTCAAATGATTCCTCTAACTTCTTCCATGCCTCATGAGCTCTCTCAATGTTCTTGATTTGCTCAAATATTCTCTTATCCAAAAGCATCATGGATGGCACTAAGAGCAATGCCATTATTTTGGAGAAGCATTTCTTCGGCGGCGGTAGGAGCCTCTTCATCATCAATCTTAATCTTGGTCTCCACCACCTTCCAAACCTTCCTATTGATTGACTTGATATAAGTTGTCATCTTAGCCTTCCAATAGGGATATTTTGAGCCATCAAATTGGGGTGGCTTCTTGATGTTGTTGATTTGAGCCATTTTTACACCGAAGGTTGTTAAGCCTCAAATCATGGTGACCTTGGCTCTGATACCACTTGAAAGGTCCTAATGGCTAGAGGGGAGATGAATAGCCTATTAAAAATTTCTACAACAACACTTAACAAACCGGTTAGACAAATATGAGGCAAAGCGAGTGTTGCGCTAGCCTACTAAAAATGCAAGCCGCCTACCACAAGTCTAGTTTCTATAGTCTCTATCCACACAATGGCTATGTCACTACACTAAGTTAGTGTGCTCTCAAAGGCTAACTAAAGAGCCACACTAACCAAACTAACAAGCTCTCACAACTAACTACACTAAAGAGCTTGATAACTAGTTTACGGTAATGTAAAGATAGAGAGCAAGATAGTTATACCGCCGTGTCGAGAAATGAACCAATCAATCACAAGAATGAATACCAATAAAGACTAATCACCTCAGAATCAAATGTTGACACAATTATTTTTTACCAAGGTTCACTTGCTTGCCGGCAAGCTAGTCCTTGCTGTGGCGATTCACTCACTTGGAGGCTCACGCGCTAATTGGCGTCACACGCCAAACCCTTAATAGGGTGCTGCACAACCAACACAAGATGAGGATCACACAAGCCACGAGCAATTTACTAGAGTATCTTTTGGCTCTCCACCGGAGAAAGATCAAGAACCCCTCACAATCACCACGATCAGAACTAGAAACAATGACCAACCTCCGCTCGACGATCCTCGTTGCTCCAAGCCATCTAGGTGGCGGCAACCACCAAGAGTAACAAGCGAATCCCGCAGCGAAACACGAACACCAAGTGCATCTAGATGCAAACACTTAAGCAATGCGCTTGGATTCACTCCCAATCTCACAAAGATGATGAATCAATGATGGAGATGAGTGGGAGGGCTTTGGCTAAGCTCACAAGGTTGCTATGTCAATGTAAATGACCAAGAGAGTGAGCTAGAGCCGGCCAAACGGTATTTATAGACACCCCCAAACAATAGAGCCATTGGCTCAATTATTGGGCTGACTGCGTGTCGTCCGGACGTGCAGGTCGTGTGCACCGGATGCACCGGTCGTGTATACCGGACGCATCTAGTATGGCGACCGGACGCGTCCGGTCACTACCTAAGCGCCACATGTCCAATTTTAAATGAAATAGCCGTTGCTGCCATATTCAATCTGCGACCGGACGCGCTCTTTAGAAATGACCGGACGCATAGCCACAGCATCCGGTCAAGTGTAGAGAGCTCCCAGGGCCGACCGAACGCATCCGGTCACTTTGGACCGGAGACGTAGCGTCCGGTCGAGTCCAGAGAGTTCCCAGAGCCGCTCTAGGCCGACTGAACGCGTCCGATCACTCTGGACCAGATGCTCCCAGCGTCCGATCAACTGTTATATTGAACATCAACTTTACTGGTTCACACCGGACACGTTCGGTTGCTCTGTGTAATATAGTACCAAGCCGTATTACTTTGACCGGATGCGTCTGGTATCCATACCGGACACGTCCGGTCACTCTGTGACCAGCACGACTAACTCCTTTTTAACTCTATCTTCTTCACCCTTGCTCAAATGTGCCAACCACCAAGTGTATCACCTTGTGCACATGTGTTAGCATATTTTCACAAATGTTTTCAAGGGTGTTAGCACTCCACTAGATCCTAAATGCATATGCAATGAGTTAGAGCATCTAGTGGCACTTTGATAACCACATTTCGATACGAGTTTCACCCATCTTAATAGTACGGTTATCGAACCTAAATGTGATCACACTCGCTAAGTGTCTTGATCACTGAAATGAAAAGGCTCCTACCATTTATACCTTTGCCTTGAGCCTTTTGTTTTTCTTTCTTCTTTTCTAAGTCTAAGCACTTGATCATCACCATTGCAACACCATCATCATGTCATGATCTTCATTTGCTTTACCACTTGGAGTAATGCCACATATCTCATAATCACTTTGATAAACTAGGTTAGCACTTAGGGTTTCATCAATTCACCAAAACCAAACTAGAGCTTTCACCTACTACATGACCCAAGACGAAGAGGACCCACATAGGACTGTGCGGAACAAGAATTACATTGAAAAGGTAATGTTCTTCTATGCAGTAGCCTATCCTCAGTATGATGATGATGGGAACTGCACCTTTGATGGTAAACAGGCATATGGCCTTTTATAAGAGAGGTACCTAAAATTATGTGTTTTTTTTGCTTCAATTAGTTTCTATGGGTTGCTTTGGAAGCTAACATGTTTGTCAATTGGTGTAGGAACTAGCAAAAAGAAGAAGTGGTAACAGACTAAGGGGGACACCAATCAACAAGACAATGAAGGTTGACAGAGTCACAATAAGGTCCTATACGATTACTAAACTCCTACCAGCAATTAGAGATCGTTCGCCTTGAGATCAACGCCACCAAACTATTTGGATTCAAGAGGACAATGCTAGGACTCATATCCCGGTTAATGATGAGGAATTTGCACGAGCAGTAGCCCACCTTGGGCTTGATATTCGCCTCATGAACCAGCCCCCTAACTCCCTTGATATGAATGTCTTAGATCTAGGGTTCTTTGCATCTCTACAGTCGTTGACATACACAACGATCTCTAACAATATGAATGACTTAATTGCCAATGTTAAGAATGAATATGAAAATTATGACCACAGAGCAATTAGAAATGTCTTCCTAACACTACAAGGTTGCATGATTGAGGTGATGAAGGCCGGTGGAGGGAACAAATACAAGATCCCTCACATGAACAAAGATAGGCTGGAGGCCCTAGGCATGCTTCCAAAGAGCCTCAATTGTGACTGTCAACTATATGAGAGTGTGATGGAGTCCCTAAATGCCTAGTTTCTTAGTGTTTAGAACTCAACATTTTGTTGAATGCAGTGTTAGTGTGCTGCATGTACAAAGGTGTTTGCTGGTAGTGTGCTGCATGTACAAATGTGTTTGCTACTACTATGTTGCATGTACAAGGTGTTAAATTGCAATGTGCGTTCGCCATAATCCAACATCAGAGTAGTTAATGTCATAGAATAATTTGAAACAGAACAGCTCGTCACAAATACAATTAATTAATGCCACAAGGCTGGTCACCACAAACTAAAGCCAAAATTAAGGTAGTTAATTTAGTTACATAGTTCACAAGGAAACAACCCCATCATAATTACAACTAAATCCACAAGGTTGGTCACCACATACTAGATCAGTAGCATTACTCCTATCGAAAAGCTAACATTTTTTCCAGCAAGTTCAAACCAAACCATGCACACCAGCAACCTACATATCATTTCATCGTCACACATGACCTACTGATTAACACAAAGCGGCACTTACTTCATCATCACAAATATGCACATGACCAACAGATCAACCCAAAAGCAACACCTGATTGTCACAAATATGCACATTTCACTATGGTTGGAAGCATGCAGGCAAATAAATTTTAAGGATGCTAAGAAAGGTCTCGTGGAAGAGGGGTTCCATCTCAGCAAGCTGTACCTTCAAGTGTTGAACCATCTCTGGGTGTAGTTCATCAGCGGCGGTGGCGACATCCCCCACAGGGACGTCCACAGTAGCCTAGACCGAGGCAGCCTTGATGACCGAATTTGCGGCCATGGTCATCTTCTCGGACTTGTTGCTGGCTGTAGACGCCACCACTGCACGTCCACAGTTGTAGCACCCACCAACATCACCTCTGGGCAGCCCAACACATCGATGAAGCTGTCGACGCTCACAACCACAGTCATGTCCATCTTCCTCCTCTGAATCAGGGACATAAAGTCCTGCCTCCATGCCGCTGCCTTCATCTTCGGAGTCAAGGACATACAACTGGCCGATGTGATCAACGCGAAGGCGACTACACCCAATATTGAGGACGTGCTCCGGGCTCCCATCACCGCCACTAGCCCCTAGCTTCATGGGTTCATTTTGTCTTGTACCACCATCGCACATCTTAGGGATAGGCACAGAGCTCGCGCTGCCTTCCCCAATCTCATCGCACATCTTGAGGACAGGAACGGAGCTCACGCCGCCTTCCCCAATCCTGTCGCACATGTTGGGGACATCGCCTTCCCCAATCTTGCCGACGGATATTGGGATTCCATCGCTGCCCCCAAACACAGGGACGCACATGGGGCTGCCATCAACGCCACCGCCCGCATTAGCACCGACGACCAACACCTTAACTAGGCGCTCGGGGCTCCCATCGTTGTAGCTGCTGGCCAGCTTCGCACCTCGATGCGTGGAGCGCCTAACGCGCTGGATCTAGCTCCCACGAGTGCGGAAAGGGCAGCATCAAGATCCAGCCATCCCTATTGACACGCGAGGCCTAAGGATGGAGAAGGGGAAGAGGGAGATAGAACAGAAGATGGAGGAGGCGGTGCAGTCAAGCGAGCTGAGGGAGATGCAGCAGAAGATTGTTTCGACGACAGCTTCATGGTTTCATGGGTCTGGCTGGCATGCTTCATCGGGCAGCGCTGCGCGGCACTGTGCCAAGCAGGCTCACACGTGCTCGGTTATCAAACCGCGAAGGGCTCGGCGGCAGCGTGCGCTTTGGTCTCGCAATCTTCGACGCAGGGAGAGACACGGCGCGGCAATAGAGGTTCGATGGTGGGCACGCGGCTCCAATGCTGGCGAGCGGTAGCAGCAGAAGGGAGGCGCACGGCTGGCCCTGGCATGGCGCACAGGCAGCGAGAGCGTAGGAGACTCGGTCCGGTCGCTTTGGTACGGGAGGCGGCGCGGTCAATGGAGTTATGGGCGGTGAAGGAGAGTCGTGTGGATGAGGATGACATGCGAACTGTAACGTGTGGTGGTGAGGAAAGTGTTGAGGAAGGAGAATTTTTTAAGGGCAAGGAAGGAGATTTTTTTGGATGGTGGGATCAAGAGACACAAACGACAGCTACTCAGGTCATATTCATAGACCTGTCACCCCTCCGTTTGCATTCTTTCATGGACAACGCCCCACCCTCTATTTGCAATCTTTACTGGATGGAGGGAGTACCAAGATGCAAACACTGAAAGAGTCCAGCTATGTGGCCAGCCTCCGTGTCATCTCCTAGGCGGCTCAGGGGCGACACACCGCGCCGCCACCAGAGGCCCCCAGCGTAGGTCAGTCTCCCGGGCGCCGCCGCTGCTCACAACGAGTGGTGACGGCGCCCCACGGTCACGCTAAAAAAGGCCACGTCCGCATCGTCTTCCTCCCTCTCCGCATCTTCCTTGACCTTTTCTCCACCCCTATGGTGGCTAACATGGCTAGGGACGAGCCGAATCCACGACCTCTGAGGCCGGAATCGGTGTCTACATGACTAGATCTATTGGTTCCCGTCCTCGAACGACCATGGCAGTGTGGTGACCGGCGGAGGATGGTTGCGCCGCTACCACCAAAGCGGCAATGGCGCTAGGCTCCCACGCTTGGAAGGCCGTCGGATTCAAGTACTCTGGGCATGGATCCCGCGACCCCGGCCATGGATGCGGTCGAACGACGCGCGTGGCTCACCTAGAGGTGGCTCATCCTTGCTAGAGCAGGCAACGGTGCTGTTGGCGTCGCGGCGACGACGCCGCCGCTGAGGTGGCCGAGGAACGGCAACATGCGGCTCCTCCTGTTGCACCGGTGTCGGCAGGCAGGGCCAAGCTACGTGTGTGCGTGGGGCTCTAGATATGGGGCTTCTCTGTGGGTCCGAGCGCAACTGCGGGGCTTGGCCACGGGGCTTGGCCGTGGTGACCCAGAGCTTGGCTATGGCATGTGCTGTGCGTGCCGCGCCGCATCCCTATGGCAGCTCCCAGCCGTCGGGCGCTGCTGCTGGCAATAGGACTGCTGGCGCGTGCGTCCCTGGCCACTACTGCGGGAGCTACTGCTCTGGTCACAAGCGGCGATGACGCGGTAGGCAACCGGGTGAGCGCACGGCCAGCGCCGCAATGGGCGACGCCAGGCACGTGTCGCATTTGGGTGCATTCACGACATCGATGACAAACACTGCCGTCGCGGCCGGGGCCATGGGTGCGCGGGCAGCATTCTGGGATGAAAATCCTTCTTAAGTGCTCTTACAATGACAATAGTGTCTACGGATGTCAGTCCCCTTGCTGAAGGCGTCACTAGAGTGCTCAAGCTACCATGTCCTGCCCCAAAAGCTTCGGCTCCACTGCTCAACTTCGGCTTCAACTCGTCGTCTGCAGGTCTTAGGGCGGAAGCCCTTACGAGCCTGGTGCTTCGGTTATTGATGATGGCGTCCGTGGACATCATTTCTCTTCTTAAAGGCATCGACACAAGCATGACCTTGTGCTCTCTAGTTGCTCCCCACCCTTTGTGCCTCCATGTTCCTTGCTCCCCTCTTGGGTGAGACTAGCCTGGCTGTCAGTCGTTGCTGATGTTTCGACGAGTGTCCTCCTCTAGCGTCTCTGCTCCGTCCGCGCTCTCCTTGATGGTGCCAGAAAAATCTAATGTTGAGTGGTGTTTCCACCGCTGCCGCCATTCCCCTCCAAGATTTCCTTCCCATGGACAGTGTTGAATGGTGGTACGTGGGCCCAGATGTGCTGTAGGTGTCACCATCAACTTCAAGGGAGGTCGCCGTGTCCGGTGATCTTGGGCTTGCCTGTCCGTCACCACTCTTAGTCTCCATTCCATTGGTTGGTCCTCAGATGGAGGGTGGCAGCGGAGCGGCGTAGCTACGAGGAGTGGTGCAGGGCACAATGGCCATGGCAAAACCGGCGAGTATGCTGTTCGGCGGTGGCACAAATCGACCATCAGTTGGGTCTTTCGGCTTGCGTCTAGGCTCATCCTTGAGTCCTCATGTTGGTTCTTCTCGTTGTTTATGTTAAGGGGTGTTGTTGTTGTTGTTGTCGTTGTTGTAATCTCTCCCTCCCCCCATTGTACTTCTTTGGACTTATTGGCCCCGTTTGGCTTGCTAAAACTTGGCCGTTCTGGCTGAAAACACTGTTCTGGCTGAATTGTTGTGAGAGAAAAGCACTCTTCTGGCTGAAAAAGCAAGCTGAATAGTGCGGATTATAAGGTAAGCCAAACGGGCCATTGTATCTGGATTGGCGCCACGCCCTTGCACCTTCCGGCTTGCCCGGCATCTGTGGAATGAAATTTCAGGTGAGGATAGTTCATCCCCGGTGACCTTTCAAAAAAAATTGGGGAATTTTGCTCACGGACATTGCACAAACGTCTAATATGTTGTTGGACACCGTCAACGTCGAAATTTGCTGGCGGACATTACAAATTTCTGGTTCTTTGTCCAAAGACACCGTACCGATTATTTTATACATTTTTCAGTTTTGGAGAGAGAGAATGTGGGGGAAATGTCTAAACTGTCCTCGTCTTCAACCTCTACTGTCCTCGTCTTCAACCTCTCGTCTTCAACCTCTACTGTCCTCGTCTTCAACCTCTGGCACCTCCTTCCCCGAGCTCTTCATCACGCCATCCCGAGTCTGACTGTGCGCCGCCGCCACCATGTCCAATGCCGCGCCGTGCCCTCATCCCCGGTGAGGCCGCGTGCCCCTAGCCAGGTCCCTGTCCCCCGGTCGCGCCCTCACGCCCCTGTCCCCGCCGTCCGCCATGGTCGCACCCTGTCCTCGGCGGCCGCATACCCCCGACCATGTCCCCGTCCCTGGCCGCGCCCCCATCCCCCTCAAGAAGAGAAGACCGGTCGCCGCCGGAGTCACGCTGTCCCTGCAGGAGAAGGCGGGCCTAGGTCTCCGACCGACAAGGACCGCGTAGAGCTTTTCCGAGCTCCGACGTTGGCCGCGGCTGTAACATCCCACCTCTCCGAGGCTGGGCTCGCTTATATCTGGCAGCTTAACTAGGATATAGACTGCCCTTACAGACCAATACAGGTCTTTTCTGCGCACTTTATCCTCACTCGTGCGCCCCAAGAAGAACTTCCCGGTCGGTCACCCATCGCTCCAGGCCAAGCACGCTTAACCTCGGAGTTATTTGCAGATGGGCTTCCGGAAAAGAAGTTGCAACTTATTAGTATGAGTATCATATTAATCCTGTTAAGCCTTGGGCCAGGATGTTACATCCTCACCCCCTTAAGAGATCGATGTCCTCGTCGATCAATCCCAAGCCAGGAGCGTCCTCTCTTGGCCACGTCCGTGTGTCCAGAGCCAGCGCATGTGCCATGCTGTGTGACCACGCCGGATCCACACCAGCCATGCGCACCATGCCTGCGCAACTGTGACACACGCACCCGTGAAACCGCGAGAGTCGGCTCTGATACCAGCTGTAACAAAACCGACCAATTATACGAAATTAAGTAAGAAAATCATCCGCCAGAGCAGACGATTGAGCAAACTTAAGCCCGTATAACCCGGTAGTCCATGAAATCACGAAGGATTTCAAACCAACTTCCATTCCAGCCAAGATCGTAATAAGTTTAGCGGTCACCATCACATATTACATAAAAGTTCGCAATCTCAGATACATCAGAGTTTAAACATAGTTATTACAAAACCAGTTCGAATAAAAGTAGCGGAAGCTATTTGTTCAAACCACACACACTCACGCGGAGTTCAAATATAGTGCCAGCGAATGATCATCTCCAATAAAAGCATTAGATGAGACGTAAGGAATGACCATGCCCATGGTCCTAAGCATCACCCATCGCAGGATACAGGCAGTTGATACAGTAGCCATAATACATCTGCCCATCTGCAACAAGTGGGAATAAAACCCTGAGTACGAGAAGGTACTCAGCTAGACTTACTCGACATAACTGAAAATAAATGACACCAAGGATTATGAAGGGCTTTATAGTAGGGTAGCTGACTCATTTGCAAAAGAAGCATTTTTAGCATTTCAAGAACCCTTCTAAAAGCATTATTGTCAAGTTAATTATTATTAACCTGTCGACTAGATTTGCACTTATACTAGAGTAAACATGTGATTAAGCAAATAATGATAACCACTGATCATTAAACAACTTCCATACTGTCATATTCACTATAACTGTCCAAGTGTTCCATAAACATTTACTACGATGAAGTCACTCAAGTCAAGTGCTCACTATCCAGGAGCGATGGCGATTCGAATCGATTTCTAATCAGCTGGTGATTTATTCCTTACACAAACCTCACTCACCCGCTAAAGTGAGATATTGATCACCGAGTCAACTTTTCAGGTATCTCGAGTTTGC